AGCGAGATGTAGAAGAAAGGGCATATAAGTTGGTGACGAAGTTCGCCGACCCGCATATAATTAAGCGAATTGTGGAAAAGACAGAAAATACAGTCGTGCACGATGTTACTGTGGGCGATCTGATTTCTCTCTCTCCAGAATACGCAAAAGCGATGCGGAAATCAACGAATCGGACTCGACAACCTATAAAGCCAGTCTTGTTACATGGGAAATTGGATGAAGGATCGGAATACCCGTTCATGGAAGACGAGAACGTTGAAGTTCGACTCCAAAATGACGTGGTAGACATCGACGAATTGCCAATGGTGGCCTCGTTCTACATTTCGACTGAAGAGGATAAGCAATACGGAATACAGGAAGGCTCATACGTGAGTACCAACCCATATCTCCAGTATGTGGCTTCTCTCCCTCTGGGAGAACCGCCCAAGCAAGTCTTCTCAGGGAAAAATTCGGCGTCGTTGAGGGTTGTATGGCTGTTAATCGCTGCGCGAGAGCGTGTGGAGTGTGTTATTGACAGTGGATCACAAATTGTGTTGATGGCATTGTTGGTAGCAGAAAGATTAGGAATTCCTTGGGATCCTGATTTGCAAATCTACATGCAAACACTGGGGGCACAGCCTACGGCGTGCCGGAACACGCGTTCCAGCCGCGTGGCTGTCCCTAGGCTGACCCCGGACCTACCGCGGGCTCGCCTCTGGCTCACCTCTAGCCACCGGTGTCTTTGTGTCGTCCCACAAAGAATCGCGAGTGTGTAATTACTCATGACAGGAAAATGATGGCCCGGCTTATAGATAATCCGCCCAGGCACATGGGCAGCGGCAGCTGGTGAATCCGAGTCCGTGTCTCGGGCCGTATGCCGACGGGTGTGGGAAAGGCTTGCTCCGGCTTGACTTCAGCCCAGAAGGCTGTTTCAGTTCTGGCGCCCCACTAGTCCTCTGTCTGGAAGTGTGTTGTGCAGTAATATATAGCCAATGCATAACTTCTGACTGCTATAAGATATAGGAAATTGGTTAGACACAACCACATATTCATAATTGATAACAAAACAAAAGATAATAAAATTCAAAGATATTATTGCTAATCTCCTATGTTTTACGGCCACGGTTTAATGCCCAACAGACTACCATTGACTTTCCACTGATCCCCTTATATGTTTTGGATGGCCTAACCCAAGCTGATAAATGGGTGATGACATGCTGAGGCTCAATAACAGTTAAAGTTTTATAGGGCTCAACTGCTACTAAAGTTGTCATAAGCTTGGGAAACTCTTGAAAGGGTGTTTGACTAATATCCAAAGTACAGTGCTGTTTGATAAAGATGAACTTTCGGAGAAAGCCATGGAGAGGAATTTCCAGGATTCTTTCAATGCGACCAGTCTTGTATGCTTCAGGATTATCTGGAGACTGGAACTGTATGAGACAATTGCTCTTGTGTGAATCAAAGCAGCTATAGGTTCGTCCATTTTCATGATATTGCCGAAGACGTTTGGCATTTGGAGGAAGTGTCATGTTCCTGTGTGCACCATCTGGCAGACTCCGATAGTGTCAGGGGAACCTCCCTTTCGGCCCGGAGACGCGCCCGATTCCGGTCCGACTCCGGTTCCGACTCCGGTCCGGCCCTCCATCTCGCCCGCACAATCACTGATCCGTCAACGCCCTCCCGACGGTCGCCCTGGGACCTCGCCTGCGACGCCGCCCAAGCCTTCTGTGCCCGACAGCGGCAGCTACGGACAAGCAGTATATAGTCAGCTACCTAGCAGGCGGACCCTTAGAGTTTCTTCTCTTTGGATCCTCCCCTGCTAGGTCAGCTTCATTTGTATTCGCTTACCAATGTTCACGCTTTGGATCCTCCCCTGCTAGGACCTTGATCTCAGGCCTCCGGGGTTGCCCTTACAGCAGAAGAAACTCTCTACGGGATCAACCGGACAAGATTGCCAGGTTCGGCGCTGACTCAGGCTCGGAGTACGAGTCCGTTCCGCCCTCGTCACTGCCCCTGCCACTTGTCCCCTCCTCCTCTACTCCTGTGGTCCCCGCACCCGTCATGCTGTCCGGAGTCACTCCTACCGCAGATGCCCGGCTGGACTCACTCGAGGCGAAAATCGATAGCCTAACCGAGGCCCTTGCTTTACTCACCAACCAGGCTTCCGCTGCCGCTGCTGCCGCTAATAATGCTGGTGGACCCCAAACACCATCGCCAGAGACGTCGATTCCGACTCCGACTCCGGTTCAGGGCGATTCCGAGGCCCTCTTTGGCGACATCAACCTCGCCTCAAAATTGGTCTTACGACCAAACCCCCCGTTCACCTTCAACGGCGACCGGAAACGCGGCCGCGCGTTCCTCTACGCGGTCCGCACCTACGCCCGCCTTGCCCCTGAGGCCTTCGTGGTCAACGGAGAGGCGAGCGAGGAAAAGGCCGTCCGCTATGCCATGTCGTTCATGGCAGAAGGACCCGCTCAGCAATGGGCGGAGCGCCACGGAAGCAAAGCCCCGTTTCCGTTTCCGTCCTGGGGCTCGTTCGTTTCCGAGTTTCGACTCCGGTTCGTCGAGGAGAACGAGCAAGATCACGCTCTCTCCAAGCTGGAGACTTCCGCCTATCACATGGGCACAAAGGATGTCTACCAGTACATTGACGACTTCGAGGACCTGATGGACCTCGCCGGATTTGAAGACGCGCTGGTCAAGGTGACCAAGTTCCGCCACGGACTTGACCCCTTGATCAACAACGGAATCACGTCCTCGAACGACCCCCCGGACCTCCGGGACTACCTTAGCTGGCGCACCCGGGCCTTCCATCAATACGAGGCCCTGGTCCGGGCTAAGCTGATCAAGTCAGCCGCCCCCAAGACGCCTGGCGGTTTGATTCGGACTCCGTTTCCGGTCAACCGCGTCCCGGCTCCGGCCCCCTTCCGCCCGGTGGCTCCGGTCGTGCCACCCGCGGCCCGCGCCCCCGCTCCGGCGCCTCCAGCTCCCGTTCCTATGGAGTTGGATCGCACTAGGGCTCGGGGTGCCCCTCGTCGCGCTTGCTTCAGGTGCGGCGACCCAAACCATCTCGCCCGGGATTGCCCCCTCCCCGCCGATGTCCGCTCGATGGACATCCTCGACGAGGTGATCCAACAACTCGGTGACGAGATGTTAGCGGAGTTGATCGCCCGCTACACGGACACAGCTGCCCTGCCAGAGACGGCAGTGGAGTCGATGGCCGGAGAGGATTTTGTCCCCCGCGACGAGTGACTGGTGTGCCCTCGTTCGCGTCTATAAATCGTTTTGCCTCTTTGTATGATGAATGCAGTTCCTTGCCCTACAATGAGCCCGAAACGAAAGACACACCCTCTCCTGCCCCCGCCTCGACTCCGTCTCTCCGGTCATCGTCCTTTGCCGCCTCACTGCCTGGGAAAAGAAACTGCCCAAGCAGTACACCGTTGCCGCTGCCCCTGGGGCGAACTCCCTCCACCTCCCGTTGGAGCTAGAGTCCACCACCAGCGCGCTGAAGCTCTCACTCTCTGGGCTTGTCGACTGTGGTGCCACCTCTGACTTCATTGACACGAACTATGTTGCTCGGAATGGCATTCCGGTCCGCACCCTCGATCAGCCGATTCCGGTCTTCAACGTCGATGGCACCCCCAATGACGCTGGCTCCATCAAACAGATCGCGGACTTGGTCCTGCGCTACAGAGGCCATGCCGAACGAGTTCAACTGGCCGTCACCCATCTTGGCAAGCAAGACCTCATCCTGGGGTACTCCTGGTTGCGGAAACACAACCCAGAGATCAATTGGGAAACCAAGGAGGTCAAGATGACACAGTGCCCCCGCAATTGCTCGACCTGCCGCGAGGAGGAACGCGTCGAACGGACTGAGTTGCGGCGACTCCGGTCGCTCCAGAAACGTCTCCGCTCCGGCCCGTTCCCCTCGGTCTGCGCCATGGACCTCTCTGGCCCTGACGACGGAGACGATTCCGTCTCCGGTGACGACTCCGCCCTGCCTGATCTGATGCCGGACTCCGACGACGATGAAGACGATGGTCAGCTTGAAGATGGTGACCGCATCTTCTACACCTCGTTCCGCCCCTCGGAGGAGATACGCGCTGGCAGTACTGTCTCACAGCGCCTGGCCGAAGCCTTCGCCAGGAACTCCGCCCCTCCGCCCTCCGAGATCCCGGACTGGGCTAAGAAGTTTCAGGACGTCTTCAACAAGGAGTCCTTCGACACGCTACCGGAGCGGAGAGCCTGGGACCACGCCATTGAACTCGTCCCCGACGCTAACACTGCGGGCAATGGAGCATATTCCGCCCTGGAATATGTTGAGAATATTATGAATATTACAGGGTGTATTCATTCCATTTTCTAGGCCGGAATATGACAGGAATATCCGTGGAATATTCTTAATTTTCTCACCATCTGTCATATATATGACAGCCCGGAAAATGTTGAGCAGATCCGTGGAATATTCTTAATCTGCCACATGTTTTCATTCAATATTCCGGCCTGGAATATATCACATGTTCCAGCCTGGAATATTGTGATCATATTCTGGGACTATCATTGATTGGGATTCTGATTGGGATTCCATAAAACTGTGATAAGCCACTATATAATTACATGCTAGCTAATGTATACCATGACAAGTCACCTCACTCGCACACATAGCTTATCCCTACTCACCAAGGCTTGCTGCTTGCTAAGACTTGTATACTTTTTTTTGATGCATTATGATATTTACATACAGGCATACATTAACTGCCCGCGTCCACGGTCCACCTCACCAATCATCTCCTTCATCAGCACCGCCAGGAATCGGTCTGCCGGGACCGGGCGGGCGACAAGGGGTGGAGCTTGGTCTTGACAAGTGCATTGGTATGGCTTGTTCGTGACGCGCAGAAGCATATGTAAGTATGGATGGGCGGTTTGGGGACAGAATGGATGGAGGCGGCGCAAGTAAATAGATGTAGTTGAAAGAGTAGGGCCAGATGTTGGCGGAATGTTGTCATAGTCGTGGTCGACAGTCAAGGGCTGATGATGGTGATCATGACACGTAGACGCAAAGTCGTCGGAGACCCTGAGAGGAAAAATTGAGAAGGACGCAAACGCAGGTTACGCCGTCACTCACTATCTGGAAGTTTTGTAATGTTTTGCTCGCTGCAATTTCCGTATTAGACCCAAGCTGACCTTAATCCACAGGTCTTTGCAGTGGACACCCAAGCGAATGACAACAAAAGCGTCTATGGCAATGCCGCAAGGCCTCTGCTGGACATGCTATTGTCTGGGGTAAGTACTGTTGCTTGTTTTGCGTATTAGACATAAGCCAACCTTAATCCAAAGGTCATGCTCATCATCCCAATAGCGCTGTCTCCGCGCCGGCGCTTTAGCCAATCTTGGCCATGACGCTGACCGCCTCGTCGTCGAAGAACGTTGCTCGGTCAGTGCTGTCTGCAAGGTCAGAAATGGACTGAAAACAAGTCGGATGACTCACCACCTATGGCCAGCGAACTCTGCAAGTATTTCATTACATCTGCCAAATGCCGCTTCCCGCTCCTCGTATCCTAGTCGGCCAAATGCGTTATCAAGTATGGAGGCGGTGTAGGCTGAGCAAACAAGGCCTTCCGCATCCATGGCTTGTGGTGGAACTGTGCTCGTCCTGTTAGCACCACGCGGTTGACTGCGCCAGCCTTGACATGCGCGTCCGCCTAAGGCTGTGCTTAGCAAATATCACTTGAGTTCGAGGAGAAACTTACTAAAGAACAAAAAGTTCGTCTTTTCCGTTCTAAGAATGCCCTTGTCGACTAAGCATTTCACCAAACGGCGGTTGCGAACTTGTTTGAACTGGAACTTAAGTCGATCTTGAGCGCATTCCCAGTTTCACCTGAGAGTGTCAATGCCAGATAGGCATTTCTACAATGTGTCAATAATTCAGTAATGCTCGGAGGAAGACGGCCCCGAAAAGGCACACGATACGAAAAGAACTTACGCGTCCAGGGTCCCTCACAATGCTAATTCTCTGTCTGAGCACGAGTTCAATGAGTATGGACCCTCGCAGGGCATAGCTGATGTTGTTCTTCCAGAAGCTGAGATACCCATGCAACCAACGCTGCCCGAGGCACTCTGCTCCGCACACCAGTCGCCACCCGGCCCGGCAGTGTCGCCCTCACTGGCCCGTTCCTAGTCTTGGAGACCAAACTCGCGTATAAGTGTGCAGACGTCCAACGGCACTCCATAGTCGTCCATAACTGTGTTGTACTTCGAGTCTTCGTATGAGAAACGAGGAACTCGGCCCATGGTCGTCAGGACGGCCGTTTGGCGAGGAGAGGGGGAAGGGGTCGAGTTTGTTGGCAAGGTTGGATGAGGGGAAGGTGTGGGTTTGCTACTGGTGGGCGCGAACCACAGGTAGCATATCATCTTGAATGTCTAACTTTCGGGTCGTGTCCGTGCAACATAAAGCCAGTCGCGCCCAAGCATCGTGGAACCATCTCTACGCGCCGAGATTTCAACTTCTAAGCTAGTCGATCTCGCGTGAGTTGGGCAGCGAGGGCGGTCGTCAAAACTGCCGTTTGGTGGGTAGTTGGCAAGAAGTGGCCAAGCGCATTAGTGGGAAAAAGCAGCAGCTGCCCGCGTGGCATTTCCCACGCAAGCTCCGGCCGGCCGGTCCGAACACAGACGAGGACCCAGCTTTGCTACGCCTTTGCCATGACCGAGCAGGTGCATGAAAGGAGCGGCTGGTGATTGGTGGAGGCGGGTTGGCGGAGCCTGAGATGGTTGGCCCAAGCTTCACGAACGGCACCCGTTGTCGACCGTTGGCACGAGAGACCAAGGCGCCCCGATGGAACGATCTTCCTTCGTTCGAGATGGTGGTGCCCTCGCCACCCTCGCCAAAGTCATGTTGTTGACTGTGGGCCCAGATTATCGCATGGGCGGTGGATTCGGTGACACGGGCTCGGTGCCAACGCGATTTGCGGCTTGAACAAGCGGTTTCTCGCAGGTTTCAGACCTGCTTCAACCTAAGGATCCGCCTTAGCTGGAAAAACAAAGCCGGAGGGACAATGACGCACAGTGGGCTTTTCTGCCAACCCACTCACGTCCGTCCGCATACGACGAAATGGATCATCATCGTCAGCTTTCGGCATCGGAAGTCGTCCAAGGTTTGGCTTTGCGTGGAAAACACCCAGCTCTATGTTGTTCTGGACGGCCGAAACCACAATCTGAGATGGTCTGAGGAGCGTACTGACAGGAGATCTTGAAAAGGCATCCCACAGGTCTAGTATCCGTTGACCACCCCAAAGCGGTAGATCAAATATTTGGGGGAAAGTGTCGTTATTCAGAGAAGTGTATGTGATCTCGACACAACTCTCGTTTGCTGACAACAATATCTTGTGCCACGTATCGAAAATGAGCTGGCCTGGAGCGTGGTCCAAGCCGCCAAGGATGTGCGGTTTGATGTCTTCCGTATTGATGAGCCGACGAGAGGAAGGTGGGCAAACGGTTTCCCACCATCGTTCCGAAATTGCTCGAGGGGGATTGGTATGCAAAGGGTCAATTGGAAGGGTCTTCTCAGGGTGCCAAGAGCCGCCAACGACTGGGCCAGCAATAAGGGCATTCATTGGGGTTCTAGTGCCGGACCTTGGTGCGGGAGGGAATGGGTAGTGTTCTGGGGCCCACCAGTAGTCAGCGAAAACATATGCACGATCAGAGACATATGCAAGATGGGTGTTCATTAGCCTACGAAGTTTTAGTCATGATGCTAGACAAGGAAAGCCACGCACCGTTCGTTGAGACAGTTATTCCACCCCAGAAAGTTCGCTTGCACGGAAAACTTAACATAACGACCGTTTTTGCCTTCTGGAAAGGGTAATGCGAGATCATGTTGTGGCAGACGCTCCATCTCCCCGTACAGTTGTCGATACGACGGGCCTAAGGAAAGACCAAGTGCCGTATAGCCCTTGATACGGACTGCAGGGAAAGTCCAAAACAGGACTGAGACGGCGCATATACCAGCTATAGACACAAAGAGGCGTCGACGAATGTAAGAATGAGCCATGAAGGAGCAACAAGAAGTGTAAACTCGGTGAAGTCTTGCAATTCAGAGTCTTCATAGAATTTCGGATGCCGGCGCCGTTCGAAGAAGGGAACGAAACCCGAGCAAAATCTTGGCCGGCGCGCCGGTACTGGCCGTGACGGCAGGTTATACATGAGATGAGTCACTTCGATGGGAATAGCGATAGTTGAAAGGGTATTGCGAAAATGAATACATGGCTCGGGTTGGTGTTGTCACGAACTCAGTCACGCACTCTCTCAACAACGTCCACTTCGCCTTTCTGGATTTTCGACGCTCGTATGCGCCTGCCGTTTCCATTCCACTCGTAACACCGCTGCGTCAACATGCCGATGGACTTTTCCACCTACATAATGCAAATCAACGACGCGCTCAACGCTGAGAATGGGCCAAATCTTGCCTACCTTCTTCGGCCAACGAGCCCTCATGGAAAAGATCTCGTCAAGTCTCTTCGCTCTCCAACGGTAAACACGCCTAAATAGGTCGTCTTTTCCTTATTATCGACAGGTGGTTTCGATGGCACAATACAAAGGCTGCATATCCAGCCCATGGGATGAGGTCGCCATTCAATACATGTTGACCTGTACCAATATCGCTCATGGGAGGTCTGCGGAGGCATTCAAGCAGCAATCAGCACTCGTTTCGTGAGTTGTCGTTCATCATATCGCACACACACTAACATGGCCGAGCGCATTCTCTCGCTACTTCATCGAGAACACGGGTTGGACGCTGCCTGCATTGTTCTCCATCCCGCGGGACCTGAGAGACTTGGCGGGATGATGTGTGTGTGTCGCGAACTTGTCATCTAATATGACTTGCGCCAGGCTGACCTCCATGGACCACCGAATTCGACGGAGCAAAATGAGTGCAAGATGGAGGCAGCCAGGGTAGTTGCGAGAGCGTTTTCAAACTGCATGACAGATCGGTACGTCCTTTATTCTTTCACCAGCCACATGAAAATGACGGCCCTAGAGTCTCGCCTCCTGAAGAGTCACGCAAATGGGGCGTTTACTATATTGTCGGGCTTGTCATGAAATGCTACTTCAAGGTAAGGTCATACTCGCTTCTTGTCTGTTCTCACAAATCCGAACAGGTCAAATGGATTTCTCTGACCAAGAACATTATAAAGGCGCTTGAGAATACCAACGATATACCCGAACTTGCAGATTACCCACGGGCACACCAGGTTTGTTTATCTTTCACTACCTTTCAGGTCTGATATCGAGCAGGTCACTTATCGCTACTACATTGGCATGCTCGCATTTCTTGACGAAGAGTTCTCCAAAGCGGAGCAGGAGCTGACGTTGGCGTTCTACCAGTGCACAACGAAAGCGCACAAGAACCAGACGTGCGCAATCCTTCCACTTTTTCTGGACATCCACCAACTAAATCAATCGTAGTCGTATCCTCACTTATCTTATTCCCCTTCGCATACTTCGAGGTCATCTCCCGTCTCAAGACCTTCTCGGACGTTTTCCGATCCTCGCAGACCTCTTCTTGCCATTCATATCCGCCATCCGAGTAGGCGATCTTGCTGCGTTTGACTCTGCACTTGCCGCTCGCGAGGCCAAACTTATCGACCTCAATCTGCTTCTTACCATCGAAAAAGCTTGTGAACTCTGTATGCGAGTGGTCTCCCGTCGAGTGTAAGTCGTCTGACCTTCGTTTCGATGGCGCTTCTGCTGACACGCTTGCTTAGTTGGCTCCTCGAGAAGAAAAGCACGCGCATGCACCTCAGGCTGTTCCATGCTGGCTTGCTTGTGTCCGGCTGGGATGTCGATGTCGAGGAGGCTGAATGCTTGGTGGCGAATATGATCTACAAAGGGTTCATTCGCGGGTACATCAGCCACGAGAAGTAGACGGTGGTTTTGGCGGCCGCGAATGCATTTCCTCGGCCGTCAGAGAGGCCGTCGCCCTATTCGCTTGTGTGACAAACAGGGAAGAAAGTTGGAGCGTAAACCGGAGTATATTGAAAAGGTTCTGCTCGGTACGGGGAAAGAGACCTAGGTCTCTATGTGTAGTGGTAAAAGAGCTCTCCGTCCACTTCATCGACCAAAACATGCTTGGCCATGGGGGGGCTGGTGTTGAATGCTGGAGTCATAGAGGCCAACGAATGGAAGTTAGTCTGAAAGAATATATATGGGGTAGTGTGTTTTAATAAGGCTCGTCTTATCCCACTTTTCTATAGAGTTGATAGAGAGTTAGAAAAGTACTGCAGGCCGGAACTCTGACTACACTGTACAGTCCCCCAAACGGACGCGCCGGAGGATACCCTCCCCAAGGACGGAAAGCGTTCAGAGCAATTTGTGCTGGAGGTGAACAAATATTTCAACCGGCTTTAACGTATGTGCTTGTTATATTGTTGTCTATCCATCTAATGACCTTTCCGCAGTCTATCCAAAGCGCCATTCACAGCTCGCTTGCTCATATAATCTACTCCCGCATTGCTCCGTCCGCCATGAACGCGCCGCCACCGAATGTCGTCCCCCCCTCGCTGGGTCAGTAGTCTTAGGCGAAACAAGGTGTTCTAGGTGGTGGTTTTTATAGCCATCATCCCGCGAGATGAGAGCGAATTCTTGGGCTGGCATAGTTGGGAGAGCTCAGCAAAAGGTGCGCACTCTTTTGCTGTCATTCTTAAACCTCTCCAACGAGTTAGTTCAGGTGCAACTCCTGCCACCCGCCCCACACGCATACGAGGTCAGGCTTTGTCTGGAATGTGTCTGCAGCAGGAAATGAGCCAGAAGCAGAAAAGAATCTGGAGACTGACCTTGGTCGTTGTTTGCGAACACGAGGAAGGCGCATCAGCCGACGAGATGGTTGGCGGTTTGACGCAACTGCGGGAGTTTCGTACAACTTCTTGGAAATTCAGAGACAAAGACTCTCTGAGGGAACAATGCTACGAGATTGTCAGTCGTAAACCAATGAAATTGGGTCCGGGATCGGCTCTACGAAGCTGTTTTGAATCTTGAGGTCATAACTGAAGCATGGCTCTTTGAGAGCGCGCTGGGTTTTGTAGTTTTGAAGAGTTTTTTTTTTGCCTGAATAACTGTGGGCTTGTTTAAAAGTCTTGATTCAGTCGGTTGCAAACAACCCCTGGCCTTTATCATGCTTAGTCAGAGTCTTCCCAGTCAGACTCTGACAAATCACTCTTCGGGTCACAGCACCAGTCACACTTTCTCCACCCACGACCTTGACACGAGCTGGACGACAAGCTAGGAAGAGAGGATGGCGGATGTGGCAATGCTCAATGGGATCATGTGTTTGTGCTGCTGCTGTGTACAACTGCCTCAGACAATGAGGTAATTATGGGTTTGGAGTGTGGGTAGGGCTGATGAGAGCGCAGATTATCATTGTGTTGATGAGCATCAAGCTCTGTACTGCCTGCAAAGTCTGCCTCATTGCTCCTGAGACTTCACACCTGCTCAACACTGTACTACAATCCATTAAACTCAGCTGATAATCCAGACCAGCCTGCTCACATCCGGTGCTATCAGTGGCGAGGTATGCTCTCTTGGCTTGCTTTTGTTGTTCTGACCCTCACTTGAAGTGTACATTTAGGACTTCCAATCACCCGCAAAGCTGTCAACTCAATGAAATGAGCAGCCTCAGCTCACACACTGCTGCTTGTCACGCACTGCTGCTTGTCACGCACTGCTGCTAGTCACGTGCACTGCTGCTAGTCACGTGCACTGCCGACCTGCACACCTCTGGCAGTGGAGTGGGCTGGGCTTGACACGAGCAAGTCAGGATGCAGGCATTGAGGAGAAGGTGTGCATGGGCAGTAGCCAGCCCTACTATTCCATACTGATCTTTCTGCCAGCACAAACTGTCATTATCTTGTCACCAAGCCGCCAGAGCATGGTCTCCAATAACCAGTGCTGATTGCTACCCTCACTGCAGTAGTTGCACTCTGCTGCTGTTGTGGCTATTACCAAACCCACTCCTCCATATGATATTCCATGGCCTCTCTCTCTTGTCCTCCATGCTTACTTGATAGTGAGTTGCACAATCAGCTCTTGATAAGCTAATGTTTATTTGATACTTCCTAGTGTCTGTGTGGCTTTCTTGCTGGTTGTAGAGGGCTTGCCTTAGCATGACCAACAGTCTGGTTGTATATGGATTGGCCTCAGCACGACCGCTCTTGCAAAGCTGGTTGTAGAGGGCTCTTCCACAGCCACGACCGACAGTCTGGTTATATCGGGTGACGCCTCAGCACGACCGCTCCCTTGCTGGTCGTAGAGGGCTTTCCCCTAGCATGACCGACAGTCTGGTTGTATATGGATTGGCCTCAGCACGACCGCTCTTGCAAAGCTGGTTGTAGAGGGCTCTTCCACAGCACGACCGACAGTCTGGTTATATCGGGGGTGACGCCTCAGCACGACCGCTCCCCTTGCTGGTCGGGAGGGCTTTCCCCTAGCATGACCGACAGTCTGGTTGTATATGGATTGGCCTCAGCACGACCGCTCTTGCAAAGCTGGTTGTAGAGGGCTCTTCCACAGCACGACCGACAGTCTGGTTATATCGGGTGACGCCTCAGCACGACCGCTCCCTTGCTGGTCGTAGAGGGCTTTCCCCTAGCATGACCGACAGTCTGGTTGTATATGGATTGGCCTCAGCACGACCGCTCTTGCAAAGCTGGTTGTAGAGGGCTCTTTCACAGCACGACCGACAGTCTGGTTATATCGGGTGACGCCTCAGCACGACCGCTCCCTTGCTGGTCGTAGAGGGCTTTCCCCTAGCATGACCGACAGTCTGGTTATATATGGACTGGCCTCAGCATGACCGCTCTTGCTGGTTGTAGAGGGCCTTTCCACAGCCACGACCGACAGTCTGGTTATATTGGGCGATGTCTCAGCACAACTGCAATTGCCTCAGTACTTGATTATACATTGAAGATGGCCTGGCCACCTAGCCTGGCCTATTCAAACTTCTCTAGCAAGTTTCTCAGCTTCACATATTTCCTTGTCTGATTCACTTTTTAGCCCTTCCAACAATTAAGAGCTTTTTCCTGCAATGGATAATTGGTAATCATAAATAACAACTTTGTACTAATACTTTTGGCTAACTCACAAAAATAGATCTACTACTCTGTGCTCATCATGGCAGATGTGTTGGGCCTGAGCAACAACTCACAATCTGACTAGAGGTAACTTTCAAAATCTACGTCATTCAGGTGGATACACTAACTATAGATCTAGAAGGGCTCATTCTGCGCGGCAGACAGGCTGGAACGCCACAGACCACCAAAAACGAAGGTCAGGCCGTGCAGGACTGGCCCGTTCCACCCGAGGATTTCAGGAAATGAAGAAGCATATTGTCTGAAAGCTTCAAGTGGAACTTGAACGCGTAGGCACATTTCAACGTGCAGGAAATGTGCCCCCACCTTCGAGTTTCGGGGCAGACACGGCCGTCGGCCAATCACGCCGGGACAAGTCCCCCGATTCTTCCTCGACGTGGCCGGACGTGCCTCTAACCCGACGGTCAACCAGCAACCATGGCGGAAAATTGAAGATCGATTGATGGCCCGCCCCACGGTCACACATGTCGCTTAACGTCACTTAAAGCCCACACCACGACCAAGACTGCCATGGCTTCGCTACCTGCGCTGCCGCCCGGGACAGCCTGCCCCTTCCGACGTAACACGGCCCGAGCTTCTCTTGGCACCCGCACGAGTTGGCACCAACGGCAACCCAGCTCACTTGCCACTAGCTGGCTCAGCACTCCACACTAAACCCCGCGCCAACGCCTGCGGAATCTCGCGGCATGGTCACGGCCACAGCCACGGCCACGGCCACGGCTTCTGGCAACCGCAGGACTACGACTAATGTGCCGCCGAAACGACGAACACAGTGGGGTTTACTCGCCCATGCCCTCGTTTTTGCCTCGTTTCCCGACCCGCCGAAGGCTCCCGAACTTCACTCCCAACTCTTCAACATGCTTACTACGGGATTGTGCTAGCTTGCAGTGTATGTGAACGTTGTGAAAACGCGTCAAATGCTCGTGAAGGGGACGCAGCATTGTTTGGGGAGGGGGAATCGCGCGTAAAACGCGTCTGGGCGCCCTGGTGCGTGGCCTGAGCATCCATATCGACATGTCTAATATCTCCATAGCTGATATTGGGTCTTCTTTTGCCCACACCAGGCTTTGGAACCGCACGGCGGCGAGCTTTGCTGCTTCTTCTCGGAGCCAGGCCACAGTTCGATTAGACAGGCCCTGGCATTGCCGAGTAAGCCATGGATTGCACTCTATTCAAGGAGGAGTTGGCGCAGAGGCAAATTGAATCCGACAACTCACCAAAGTCAGAGTCAGTCTCCGTGTTCCGTTACGAATGTCGGGACTTCATTTTTTTTGACCTGCCTCGATCGACCGACAATCTCCTGGCAGCAGCCCCTCCCTTTGCCCACCGCCCAAGACATACCCGGGCCATCGACGGCAAGCACCATCCAACAACACCCATCTATCGGCAGTATCCGGACCACCTAATAATCACGACAACTCGGCCTTTGCGCAAAATTACCAACGTCGGCGCTGCTGTCACGAAAATGGACATTGTGGCAACACATTCTATCTGGCAGCTCTTGTCGTTTGCCATTGCGCTGCTCACAGCTGGGTCTCAAGCGCATTCATTGCTGGGGTTGTCGTGAATGCTGTAGACATCTCACAACGCGCAATCCCGCTCTCGCGTGCGTGTCAAACCAACAAATTGGTGCTTTCGTCGCATTCGCCAACGTTCTCCAATCAAGTCAGACGAGAACAAGACTGCAAACGCTCAGGAACACACCTGTAAACGCTACACTTGCCTGGCAGACACTGAAATCTCCCTTGTTGCCGATCCCAGCACAAAGTTCGGCCGGCACCG